ATCGCTTCACTGGGGCACATGCAAATAAAGCAGTGGGAGGAGAGTCCTATAGGCAGTCTGGAGATTAACTAAATTAATGAATATAATTACAGTACCCACCACGCTTTTGTCATTTTTAGTAACGTTGTTGTCTTGACAGTGTGTCCTGCAGTTGGGACATGTTTGGAAGGACATCTAAGCTTATACAAAGAATGGTACAACTTTCTGTTGACTCCTCTAATTAATCTCCAGATTGTACATGCAGATTATAAAATATAAACACTTGGGTATTTACGTGGCTATCCGTGACTTTGTTGCAGTGATATGACTCCAGGTTTCATGGAGAAAATAAAATGGCATTGCACAAAGAGAGAGAATATGGCGTGTCAAAGGCTTTGGGTTTTAAAGGTAACAATAATGATTAAGATATTGATCCTTCTAACCCCACCTGAAGCACTAAAAGAAGCATAGGAAAGCCACCCCCACACTGTCATTAGTCATCATCGGCTCCTTACAGCCCACTGCAGTACATGCTGCCACCTGTGATTTAGCTCTCCATCCAGTTATGAGGGGGTGTTAAGTGTTTATTATGCCGCACAGTCCCAGTCGCAATGAGGAGGCAGAATGTTGCCTGATCAATACCTCTCACAGGAAGCTGGGTTAATTTATTTTTTGAGGAACTGCTTGCAACTCTAGGGGCTCTCTTGGTGTACATTGAAAGGCTAGTTGTTTCCTAAAGATTTGCAGAGTGACAGTTTATCACAGACTCCGGTGTCTGGAGACGTAATGCTGACACTGACATAAAACTATATGCATGATTGTTTTGTGCTGAATGGTCTGCTGCAGTTTTCTGTTTGTAACTGAATACATGTTGCTGTTTTCCTGAGAAAGCCCTTGACTCTTATCCAGCCATTAATTGTGCTGATTCCTGATTGAATGTGTTCATCACATGTTGGCAGGGACTCAAAATGTTTTGGATTTGCAGGTGCTCACACAATAGCCCACTTGTTGTAACTGACAGTATTTAATTTTAGCAATAAGGTTGTTTCTTTATGTGTCAGTAACACTATCTTGGTACTCTGATTGGCTATAAACACATGTGCACCAGGATAACTGCATATGCACATAATCTACATTATTCCTTTCTGTTCAATTCAATTGGATTCAGTTTATTTATATAGTGCCAAGTCACAACATAAGTCATCTCAGGGCACTGAACAGAAACATCTACATAAATAAAAAGTAAGCTAATAACATTATCAGAGAAGCAGTCTGCTTTTAGTTTAACTTCATTGCAGACTCTCATCTTGAGCAAGCATGAAGGCGACGGTGGAAAGGAAAAGCTCCCTCGTGAGGAAGAAACCTTTAGCAGAACCAGGCTCAGGAAAAGTGACCATCTGCTTTGACTGTCTGGGTTTGAGAGGAACGAGAAGGAGGAACAGATACACAATAGCAGGTCAAGAATCACATGTTAAGATGAAAATAATTTCTAATGCAAATTATTTATTTGTATCAATTCACTTTAAGAAATGAGGTCAATTTGTGCTCCAGTATTCTAAGCCTATAGCAGCATAACAATCTGACCCTAACTGTAGGATTTATCAAAAATAAAGTCTTGAGACCAGTCTAAAACTGGACAATGTGTCAGCCCTATGGACAGAAACTGGAAGTTGGTTTCACAAAAGATGAGCCTCCCATTCTTCTTTTGGAAAATGTAGGAACTACAAGTAAGCCTGCAGTCTGAGAGTACCGAGGTATGTTCAATACATTGTTCTTCCAAAAATGTTCCAATTTATTAGCATATGCACTTAACAAAGCTTTGGGTACACTTTGGCTGGCAGCACTATGTTCTGCTCTCTACCCCATAATATTAAAGAAATAAAACACAAAATAAAATAAATAAAAACATGATTTAACTGTATTCTTGTTTAGTTGTCACCAATGTAGGCACCAACAGTATTATTTTCCAAATTGCTTCTGAATCGTTGTACAATATAAGTAAAATCAAGCTTGCAGTTCATTGGTGAAAATGTGAAGGTGGAATAAATACATTACTGTCATTATGATCATTTTAGTTACCACTCGTATGTATTGATTTTCACTGAGCATCATCAATCAAGGCATTTATAATGGATGCTGTCAAAGAGCACATATCTTCCTTCAGGGAATCATCACCTCAGATTCAGGTCAAGCAGAGATTTGATCTGTTGTCAGTTAGATGAATTGATGTTTTTTCTCTGCATTCTCCCCTGTCTTATTGACTCTTGGAGAGGAAGAATGAAGGTAAAGGTGAGTAGGGATAGTGAAAAAGTCTAAAGTAGTTTAATGTCAGCCCTCAAGACTCAAAGCTCCTAAAATATTCAAAGCCATTGTCGATCACCTTTCGCCCTGCTTGCTTGTTTAAGACAAAGAGTGAAATTCAATCAATAATGGCTCCAGTACTGGCTTATACGGGATGCATCATCTAATATTTATACAAAACGAGTCCTCCCAACCTCAAATCTATCCTGCCGTTGGATGTTCAAGGGGCTGTGAAGAACTTGAAGCAGGTTGAAATTCTTGACAGGATGCGAAGATGAAGAGGATGAGATAAATCTCTGTCCCCATCATGGTGGCAACAGCAGTCATTTGCATGCACATGATACGACAGGTTATGATTAACTGCCATGTTGAGTGGTAAAGTGGGACACCTTTGCTACCATAAAACAGAAATGGATCATAAATTCCACATGGCAACTCGGATCCATTATTGCTCCCTAAAAACATGCCTTTAAACAAATAACCCTAGAATGAGGTGTTTTTGTTACGTTACTACACACCAACAATAAACATGTTCATGGTAGTTCATCAACCTTTTGAAACCACAATGAAGAACTTTGTGGACATTATTTTTTCATTTTTGACAGAAGGTAACATTTTCACCTTCATTTTATTTTTTCTCTTATCTTAGTTAGTATTAGTTATAATTCTATCAGTGTTGGATTGCTGAGGTCAGTTCCTGATAAGAGTCCATCCTCCAGCACAAGTGGAAACAGATAAATCATAGGAAATTTTAGGATTTAATTTCACTGCATTGTCAAATGCTAAATTCCCATTTTATCCTACACCATATTAAGGGTGATTAGTGTTTTGATGGGATTTTACCTGAGAGAAATTCAATCAGCTGTGGGAGGAGAAACATAGTTTAGTGTGTATGTTTTGCTCACACGTTCGGTCCATTCCACCATTTTGTTTTTGAAGATTACATAAAATGTAATGTTATTCATTCCTATGATATTTCCACCTAATGTTGTCAAGATATTTATTAAGTACAGACATTTGTCAGAATCAATGATCATATCCCCTTTTCAGTTAGTTAGCCATTGCCAAATATTGTTTTTCTATTATTTAGGTACAAAATGTCTTAAAGGAATTTAAATTCTCAGCCCTCCTCCTCAAATCATGCTTACCTCCAGGCTTTGCATCCCCAATTTAAAAGGTACTAAACAAACCTCCTCGGGCGTTTTCTACAATTCAAAGAACTTTAAATAATTATTTAGACTTTTGTTTCTAATGACCTTGATTAATTGAGTAAACTAAGGGATTCCTATTAGTTGTATATGTAAAACTTGTCTGTGAGCTTTTAAAACAAATGTATATGCCTGCTAACTTAAAAGTTGTAAACATTATCTTAAATTATGTCAAAGAACAAAAAGATCCAAAATTGTTTCTTTTTTTTTTTTTTTTTTTCACACATAAACTATTACAATTTATGTGTAATTTTGTAGCGATTGTTGTTGGAGTCTGAAAAACGCAATGAACAAAATGTTAAATAGAGCCCTGGCATGACAGTATCCACACTAGAGAGCAGTCTGTTCCCTCTTTCTGCAGTCGCAATCAAACCCCCAACACACACGCACACACGCACACTCAACGTACTATCCATGTGAAAAGGCCCAGGTGACACCATATCTGTCAGTGCAGAAATGTACACAGTAGATATCAAAGTAATAAATATATACACACACACACACACCTCTAAATGGCCTTGTATTCAACAAACATTTTACATCACATAAAAACACAGTGGTGATTTCTGCATGTGCAAATATTGCTTGAAGCTGGTGAATAATCTCTTCAGTAGTTTTGATACTACTTAAATTACATTTTGATCTACGTGTGCACGGATTGGATGATTGTTGGCTTTGTATGATTGAGTCAGTCACATGAGTGACAAGTAAAGTGTGAGAACAGGCAATGAAAGGCGTAGCTTTAGATCTTTGACACTCTGCTTTCTTTACTTGAATGCAGCACAAATGTGATCAAATAAAAAATAGAAAAAACTTACTGGTAAAAATTAAATAGACCATGTTAAGTCTGTTTACAATGAGAAAATGGAAATAAACTACACTGATAATGACTCAACAAAATGCCTGATAAACCAACAAACATGATTAAAACAGTAATTTTAAATTCAAACCTCAGTTTTACGCTAAAGATGGGATGCAGTTATCAGCGTATTTAATCCTTATATATATATATATATATATATATATATATATATATATGTATATGTATGCTTTTCTGTATTACTTTTTTCCTTTTTTTGGCTTTATACACTGGAAAGTCATGGCTCCTCTAGTCCACGAGCACAACGACTGCATCTATTGTTGTTCATCCTCTGTGACAGGCTTCTCACATACAAATGAGTTTACTGTGAATAGTGGTTCATTTATTTAAACATTGTCTTGTAGTTTACAAAAGAAATATATATTTTTTTCAGTTTTTGTCCACACTTGCACATCTTACTTTAGCATATTTTACACTTTTAACATTTTAATTAAACATTTTTTTCCAGTATTTTAAATGCTTCTCAAATGTATGTACCATGATACAAATGGTTGCTTTTTCTTCTTTTATTTATTTTTTCTTGTGTCTGAAGTTTGTTTTTAACAATATTTAAATGTCCTGAAGTAGAAAGACACATTAAAGCTCAAATATCCTTCCATGAGAAGCTCCAGTGCTTAAACTATATGTTTTTCCTTTCCTTTTTTTTTTTTTTTCTTTAGAGCATCAACAGGTTCAATAGTCAGGTGCCTATTATGCTGTATGATTTCAGATCTGCAGTAGACAGCAGTAGCAATAAATCTGTCACAAAATAGGCAGTCATGTAAAGCGCACTCTCTCCAAATCACAGTGAAATGTAAAAAGGGTCCAAAGATCAAAATATTCCCTTTGTTCTACATCTCTCTCTCTCAAGTATATCCAAAAGGGATTTAGTGTATATCCACATAATCACAGGTAAAGATTTACTCAAAAGGTACAGTTACACCTCACATTCTCGAGAAGGTTGCTGTTGGCAAGTGCACGAGCCATATTCATTGATGATTACCAAAGCTCCTTCAATGTGGTTAGGTTTATAGTCAACATAGTACTCCGGTGTAGAAATTGCTGCCATCTGCTGCATGCTTTGCTTTTGCTTTTGCTTACGGCGCTGACTGCTGAAGCACTGCCTCAGTTGCCTTATTCCAGCTGGAAAGCACTTCCATGCCACATACAACATGAGCACTATGATGAGAAAGGAGAAAATGAGTGCCATAGTGCCAGTCACTACTTTGTGAATCTGCATGGTGCTCTCCAGGTCATCATGGCCCACTGTGACGGTGAAAGAACTTGTAACCACCTCAATACCATCCCCCTCATAAGGGTTTGGAGTGAAAAGACCCTGAAACCCAGAGCCTCCCTTGGTCAGATCCTTTGTAGAGGCAAACAGGCCTGCTGTGGTTACCTCTAATGGAGAGCCTTCACATAGCTGAAAAGCATAGACAGCATCCAACACATCCTCGCCCTGTGCGGTGTCGGGGCTTGAACACAGCAGGGAGCTGTCACGCTGACCTCGGAAGGCACTTAGCCAAGAGGCCAAGGCACACACATTACGACTACACTCCCAGTCATTGCCAGCCAGGGTAATGCTGTCCAGAGATGACCATGAATCCAGGATGTGCTGATCCAAAGAAGCCAAACGATTGGAGTCAAGCATCAACACCTTCAGGTTGGGAGCACTCTCGAACACATGTGGCTCAATGTACTCAATTTCATTGGATGACAGATCAATTTTCTCTAAAAAATGCCAGGTCCATTCCAGGGTGTTGACAACAATGGTAGCACGATTGTTGTGCATGTACAATGTACGTAAGGAGATGAGGCGAGGAAAGTGGGCTAGGTTGACTTTGACCAGCTCATTGTGCTCAAGATGCAACTCGGTCAACTTGAAGAGGCCTGCAAAGGAGTTTCGTGCCAGACTCTGCAGTTGGTTGTATCCCAAGTCCAGAAACTGCATGCTCCTGCAGTCTTGAAAAATACGCACTGGCACAAATTTGAGAGCGTTGTAGCGCAAATGCAAATTGGTGAGCTTCCTAAGGCCATGAAACAGGTCAGGCTCTAGGGCCTGCAGCCTGTTATACGAAAGATCCAGAATACGTAAGTTTGGGAGGGGCCTAAATGTTCCATTTGGTAGATTCTCAATCCGGTTGCTGCTGAGGTCTAGCTCCTTGACCCGTCTCAGCTTCTCAAAGGCCCCCTCCTCTACAATGTCAATGTTGTTATGATCCAGATAGAGCCAGGTTAGCTGCGACAGACCATTTAGTTGGCCTTCACGCAGCTCGGTCAAGTTGTTCTCTCTCATGGACAGGCCCATAGCACTGCTCAGATTGCGGGGGATGTCTGTGAGGTTGAGCCCCTCGCAATACAGCAGCTTGCTGTCGCAGCGGCACAGCCTTGGACAAACCGCTTCTGCCAAGGGAACGGTTCTTAGAAAAATGCCCAATGAACACAGTATCAACCCAGGGGGCTTTTTCAGTGGCCACTTTAAGTACAGTCCAATTAGGAGGAAATCCATTAGCATAAATATCCAGGAATGTCGGAAAGAAAATGTCCATTGAACCACTTTGGATATAGTATTTGCACCAACCAGAGCAAATTTATCACAGTCTATTACTTAAATGACTGTGTCATAATGCTCTTGTATTTTAGTTGCAGATGATATATTTTTATTTGATCCACAGAAGAGCTCTTTGTTGAAAAGCCGACAAATAAAGAGCAAATGTCTTCGCTGATGAGAGATATTAGGCAGAGGGTGGAGAGTCGAGGGGATGAAAAATGAAGCTGTCTTCACCAATCGGTCTTATTCAAAAAGATTCTTACTCACCCTCATCCAAAATCTGACAATCTCCATTCAACATCCTGCTTTGTGCCCAACACTAATTATGTACGAATTTTGAAAAGATCCCACTGTGGTACACATTCTCCCCCCCTGCCTTTTTTTTTTTTTCTTCTTCTTTTCAGTGGACACTAGATCCTTGGCAGGCTTACAATGTCTTAGTTCTCTTCAAGTGAAAGAGCCAGAACGAGGAGGAATCCAAGTAGCTTTCAGCGAGATGGTAGGAAGTGCAAGTTCCCCTGTCTGCATGCATGAGCCCTGTCTCTTGTTGCTCCTCTGCAGTCCTCTGCTGCAAGGATCAGAGGAAAGAAGAAACAAGCAAAGAAAAAAGAAAAAAGGAACCAAAATAAAATCAGCAATAAGCAGGGCTTTGATTATCTGTCCGGCTATCGTTCCTCTTCTCTCTGCTTAAGTTTCAGCAGGTCTGTTGAAATTTTTATCGTCCATCTCAGTAAGCAATCATCAATATTAAAGGTTTAAATCCCTCCCAGCTGTTAATCATGTTTTCTGTGACAAAGCACACGCACAGAAAAAAGAAAAATGAAAAAGAAGTGAATCCTGTTCACTGTTTTCTTGGGTAACAGTATTCCTTGTTATCCCAGAGGTGTATAGCTGTTAAGAGGCAGCACGCATCCCCCTGTGGATCGCAGGTTTCTTCCCCCCCTTGCTTTCCGAGCGTTTCTTCAGCCAGCTGGAAGAGGCTGCTGAAGGCTGGTGCTGGTAGGAAGGCAGGGGCAGTAAATGTGGGAAGCAAAGGAGCGAGCAGTCCCCTGCAGCAGACCAGTCCACTGACAGCGCATGCAGAAGCACCTTCTGTTCACTGAGTGTCGTCAGCCACTCACAATTCAGAGCGCTCGCTCTCTCTCTCTTACTCTCTCACTCGCTTTCCCTTGATCGCTCTCTCACTTGTTCATGCTGCACCCTCCCTCATCCTCTTTCACTCTCTTGCATCCTTCATCCTTGCTTTTTTTTTCTGACTTTTTTTTTTCTTCTCTTTAGCTCATATATTTACATATTCACAATAGGTCAGGTTTATCCCAGGAGTTTAATGAACCTCCACATCCACTCCTCTGTCCGTCACTGACTGTCATGAATTAAACCTTTTTTGGCTCAGCTAAAAAAGTACTTATATTTCATTTTAGTATTACTATTATTATTATTATTATTATTATTATTATTATTATTATTATTATTTTACTTTTACAGCTGCAATGATCAAAATATTTAAAGGACATCCTACACCTTAAATATAGATCCATCTACAAGCATATTAAGAATGTCCATATTTATTGATAATACAAAATTATCTCCATTCTATCCTTATTACTCAAGTAATAACTTAAATTTAGTAATGGATAATATACACATGGTGTTAGTTTGTTTAATGTCTCATGCCCAACTGTTATTCCAACTGAAGGTATTGATATTTGCTGTTTAGTCCTGCCAACAGTTAAAGTTAGAGTATGAGTCAGGACTAGAGTACGATGTCCTTCATTTAATCAAACTGTCCTGTAGCCAGACATTCTGTGTCATTTCCAATTATGGTTAGGGTAGTAATTCTGAATTTGGATCTGATTGCATGCCAAGTAATATTAGCATAAGGGTATAACATAAATATTTATCTTCCAAGTTTCACTCGCATCTTGTTTTGCACTTCTCTGGAGTCATTCTTTGAAAATTAAAATGGAGTTAGATGACAACGCAAAGAAATTAAGCTCTTAATTGCGCCTTACATTTATCCATGTTTCTTTCCATCAGACTTGCAGTACCTTCATATTTTCTGAGAAATTCACACAATTATTGACAGATGCGTTAAACAAAAATAGATTCCTCTTCACTATACGACTAGTGTAACAACATACATTTTCAAAATGACCATCAAACTTTTTGTTTGTAATACATGTCCTTCTTGTTAGTGAGTAACTGAGCTTTAGTAGAAATAACACATTGCATGAATGAGCTTAAACAGAGTTGTGAGCATGTATTCTAATTTTTGAGTATAGGATCAATGTAGTTTTGAGTAAATAAATATAAATCATGGCTATGAATGTATGTATGAATGAATTTTATCCAGATGTATTACTAGCTATCCTTTTTTTTGTTCTCCAAGAGTAGAAAAAAATGACCAAAGTGGTGACAAAAAAAGCATGTAGGTGGTTTGCTCACAGGCATGTTGGCAGCAGAGAGCAACAAACAAAAAGTTGCACTATTAGGGGATAGATTGTAACAAGTTTTCACAAATTAAATTTAAATGATATTAAATATGAACGAAAGCCTGTGAACATCAAGAGTACTGTGGAATATCCATCCATTTATTATCTTTGCCCGCTTCTTCCTTTTTGTGTCATGGGGGTCGCTGGTGCCCATTTCCAGCAGTCACTGCATGGACATAAGTTATCGGATTAAACAGCCATTCGGTATAAAAATGTGTCATGTAAACGCCCCATTCGTACTATTCTTTGTTGATTCAGCTCAATCCGAAATAATGTGTAATCCAAATGAGAGGGGTGGTTTATGCTGTTTCATAATCCAAACCAGTGACGTGCAGTCAGGGGAGGCAGGTGAGGCAGTGCCGCACCTGTCATCATGACAACATACTAACACAATGATAAGAGAAAATACATTTGACCACTTGACTGCTCTATATCACTGTTTTATAAAACTGTTTTCTGAATTATGTCAACACTTCAGTGGTTAAAATCGTGGAATGTGTGCATCGCCTGTTCAAACGCATGGAAGAAATGCGCTGGGTGAGGCAGTGCAGTGCTCTGGTTCACCTCTGGTGGCGCTGTGTCATATACATTAAATGAAGTAGACAGCTGGAGCATGCTCATTGCTATCTCTCTTTATATCGCCAATATACTACATGTTTGATTACACATGTGCTACACATGTTGATGTTCTACAGTTCGTCTAATATATTGAATGAATGTGTGACATATTTCTTCTTTCTAATCGGTCATAATGCACGCTGAAAAGCATGAGAGGTGCCGCAGAATAAACCTTGATGCACCGATAGGGGGCAGTGCTGCCCCATAGATACAATAGAACAGGTGCAGTCGCTGTGCGTTCTTCTATTATGCAGAGGGGCAAGGGTGAAACAAACGATGCATTAATTTAAATTTGTTTAGACAAAATGGAAGACGATATCTCAAAATGAAAGGATTTTTTCTATCCTAGATTTTCAGTTGAAACAGAAGGTAGAGAGAGCAAGAAAAAAAAATGCTAAATTGAAATAGAAGCTTCTATTTTGGGTTCATATGTTGTATGTGAGCATCCAATGCCAGACAGTCAGTTCCTCACCTGTCACAAAGCTCACTGTCACTAACCATGTGCATGTAAACACATAATCTGTTCATTTTTTTTCCGATTGTGGAAAACTGACCTTACTGCGCATATGCGACCTACGTCTACCTCTTGCATTTCCGCCTGGCTAGATGCTAATAATATTAGCGTGTCGGGGAAGCAAAACTGGTCAGTGACCGATACAACATTTGTACTTGAAACTTTGAACGAGCTCAAAATGATCCGTATTACCTGTAGCTCAGTCAGGGAGTGCAGTAACGTCTCCATCATCATTAAAACCTGTTGCGGGTCCATTTTGAGCGCTCAGGTTTGTTTATGTTCATCCCGGAAGTAAACCGGAAGTAGAACGTCTTCTTCTGTGTTTTTTAAGGAGAGTTTTTCACTCTGCACATGTCAGTACTTCTATTTTGAATAAAAGCCCGCTGCATGTAAATGCTTGTCGTGAACAGATTGTGCCCATGTAAACTATGCATTCAAATTGTTAAATCTGAAAACATTTCAGTCCGGTCAAAGAATTTTGCACATGTAAACTTAGCTATAGAGACAAACGAGACGAACAGCCATTTTCTCTCTCACTCACACCTAGGGACAATTTAGAATCACCAATCAGCCTAACATGCATGTTTTTGGTCCGTGGGAGGAAACTGGAGTACCCAGAGGAAACTCACGCATGCACGGAGAGAACATGCAAACTCCACCCAGAAAATATCCTGATGCATGATCAATAATCCAGGTAGAAAAATTCACCCAGAAAGGCAACCGCGCCACCGTGCAGCTACTGTGGAATATAAAAACGAGAGTGTTAATGTGAAATGAAAATTCAGACAAGAGTTAGCCCTAATATCAGAATCTAACCACAAATATTAACTATCTCTCATTGCAAAATGTTATCTTTAAACTACAAAAAAAAAAAAAACTTAAACTGTTGTTGAAGAACTTTACCTTGCATTTAATCATTTTGTGTCCTGGAGCTTGTATAGTATCCAGTGACTCTTCAGAGAATGATAAACGGTAAATGGACTGTACTTATGTAGCGCCTTTCTGTCTTCTCAAGACACTCAAAGTGCTTTACACTACAGTCTGAGTCATCAGTTACCCATTCATACAGCACTCTACTAGATCTATACAAAGCTAAATGAACAAATCATTCTAAAGAGACTAATCAGTGCTTTATCACATTCATACACCGATGGGACACACATCAGAGGCTATGAGGGGTTCAGTGTCTTGCCAAGGGACACTTTGGCATGTGACTGCTGGTGGATTTGAACCCCCAACTCTTGCATTGGAAGACGACTGCTCTAACCACTCAGCCACAGCCAGAATATTATTGCCTACTGCCAGACAGTAAAAGAAAAAGGGCAATAATGTTTTTGCCTATCTGAGGGTTTCTGTGTTCATGTCTGTCTGTTAACAAAATGTAATCTATCAGCATGTATCAGTAAATAAACGGTAATGAAACTCTGGAAATATATTCATTAGAGGTGTATCTATATATATAGAATTCAGTCAGTTTGACAGATGTTGAACTAAAATTGTGTTTGGTAATTTCTGAGAAACATCTTGAATGAATATTTGAATTGCTATCGCTAATGTTAACTTCATTTTCTGCCATTAACTATCGGAGTCAGCTTTGTCCTTTCACAAAATCCAGTCAGCATGATTTTAATGACTTAATGCTCCTCCACAATTGGTTCACTTTTGGAGTCAAACAAATTAGAGATGACTACCACAACCAACGGATGTAAAAAAAAAAAAAAAAACGAGAAAAAAATGGCAGTCTTGTGGTAGTAGTTGAGATTAGACCACAACACACTCTGAGTGTGACAACTGTTCTTAAAATGTTGGCATAAATTGTTAGTCCACGTCGTCTGTTAGCAAACTATCACATGCATTAATTGACAGATATTCACAAAACTTTTAAGAAAGTAATGATGAATATCTACAGCTGAATAACTGACCACAACTCTTCATTGCTGCCAAAGCTAGCTGACATTGGATTATGCAAAATGGCTGCACCTTTGTCAGATTTACAGACAATGAGCTAAAGTTTGATGTGTTAGTAGCCGAGAGTCATTAACAATACAAAGTCTAAACATTGACAAATGTTGCAATATCACATGTTGTTGTACGTAACGATATTTTGGGGTTGACCAAATTGTAACTTTCTCATCTTAAGTTGATCTTAATTTACAATTCTGGCACAACAAGCAGCTGGCGTGTGTGTCCATCAAGTTCCATTAGCTGCGATGGCAATCTTGGTTTGGGTTGACTTCAAAAGTTACTAAAACATATGTGACATCATGAGCAAAGCAAAACAGAATAAAAGTAAAATAAATAAATAGAAGCAGAATAAAAGGAAAGTGAGTTTTATTCAGTGTCCAAAAGGTTAATTAGGGCATTTTCAAGTTTAGACTAGAGCAGAACAAAACCTCGACATTTACCAAAGAAGATGATGTCGCCCCACTGTTCTTTACGTCAGCAGCATCCGAAGCGACGCTCAGGTA